ATTGATATCCATAAATAAACACAGCAGCAGAAAGTGCACGGCATCACCCTTCGTGCTTTTACTCTCGTTCTCACTATAAGAATCAATATTCACTTTTATTCTTTCTTGTTGCGGCGTGCAACCCGATCCCATTCATATATTACTGTTGCGGCGTGCAACCCCATCCATATAATATTGTTGCGGCGTGAAACCCTACCCATATAATATTATTGCGGCGTGCAACCCGATCCATTTAATATTACTGTTGCGGCGTGCAACCCGATCCAAAACATATAATGATGTTGCGGCGTGCAACCCGACCCATATAATATTATTGCGGCGTGCAACCCGATCCATTTAATATTATTACGGCGTGCAACCCGATCCATATATACAAATCAACACCAATTACAAAATAATCCCGGCAAGGGAATAATACGGAAATAACAATATCCCGACAAGGAAATAATAAGAAAACGACAATAGCCCGGCAAGGGAGTCAACAACAAGAACAAACACGTCACGGCAAGGGAAACAACAATAAGAATTAAATATGTCCCGGCAAGGGAACCAGCTATAACCAAACTTGTGCCAACAATTAACTTCACCATGAAACCTCCACTACACAACAAGATGTAATAAGCACGTGATAACTACACCGGCAATTACAATAATTGGACATGTAACCTATTTGCACGAAGTCATAGAGGAACTTACAACCAAGAAGTACCAAAATAATAAGGAAGGCAATCACTCCAATTAAGGCAATTTAGGGTCAATGTAACACGTAACAATTAGAGGAAAGCTAACAACGTCATATGGAGCATGTAGGGGCAATTTAAGCAACTAGGAAGCCCAACCATATCAGGATACCTTCCACATAAGGACCTAAGAACCCTATTGGCAAATTTCCCACAAATAAGTCCGAGCACACACTCGTCACCTCGCATGCATGGACTAAAATTAGCATAGAAGACTCAATTCCTAAGGGGAAGCCCCCCACACAAGGTTAGGCAAGATACTTACCTCAATCCGGCCAATTCAATACTCAATTTAGCTTTTTCTTTTTACAGTTCATCAATGCTTGGCTCAATCTAGCCAAAAACGACTTGAATACATCTAACAATGCAAGAGAAAATAATTCCAATTAACAAAGCTATGATTCTTATACAATTTGCGAAAAGTCAACAAAAGTCAACTCCCCGGGCCCGCACCTCGGAACCCGACAAAATTTTACAAAAATCGAATACCCATTCCGGTACGAGTTGACCCATACAAAAATTATCCAATTCCGATACCATTTGGTCCTTCAAATCATCCTTTTACATTTTTGAAAGATTTCATAATTCTTCCCAAATTCCATCCCAAATCACGAAACAAATGATGAATTAAATCATGTATTCTAGCCAAATCTGAGTTAGAATCACTTACCCCGATGAATTTCTTGAAAAACCTTCGAAAAATTGCCAAAATCCGAGCTGTCTAGGCCAAAATATGAAATAAAACCCTAAACCTCGTATTTATAGCTCACCTCCCGGATTCCACCAATGTTGGCCGCACAAAAATGATTGCCCCCGCGGTGGATTTTGACTGCAGTGACAGGCCTTAGAATTTTGGACATAACTTTTGCTACAAATGTCTATTATAATATGTTTCTGAAAACTAGATTCAAAGATCTACAACTTTCGTGTTTGAAGCATCCCCAAATTCCTTGTAGATCAAAAGATATGAGCTTCCGAAGTTGGACCGACGACCTGCGGATCTTCATGACCGCGGCCGCTGTCACTTTTACGCGCCCAGCACTAGACCAGCGCGCCCAGCGCTAAAAATTCTGCCCCGGTCCATTTTCTAAGTTCCGGAATGCCTGGACTCGCTCAAAACTCACCCGAAACACACCTGAGGCTCCCGGAACCCCGTCTAATCACACAAACAAGTCATATAACCTAACACGGACTCGCTCGAGGTTTCAAATCACATAGAACAACAACAAAACAACGAATCAAACCAAAAATCAAGCTTAGAAATTTCCAAATCTTCAAACCTCATGCCGAAACCTATCAATTCAACTCGGAATAACGCCAAATTTTGCAGCCAAGTCCAAATTGACATAACGGAGCTGCTCCAACTCTCGGAATCGCATTCCGACCCCTATATCACAAAAGTCAACTATGGGTCAAAACTCCAACTTTTCCAACTTTCGCCGAAACACCTCAAATTATCCTACGGACCTCCAAATCCGAATCCGAACGCACTCCTAAGTCCAAAATCACCATACGAAGCTATTGGGATCACCCACGACCCATTTCGGGGCCGTTTACTCAAACGTCCAATTCCGGTCAAATTTTCATTGTTTAATCTTCCATAACTAGGTTCCTTCCTCCAATTCAATTCTAATTCATCCGGAAACCGAATCCAACCATGCACACAAGTCAATATACATAATCTGAAGCTGCTCGAGACCTCAAACTACTGAAGCGGGCACAGTTGCTCAAAACGACCAGTCGGGTCGTTACATAACCATAGTCATGAGTGGAGTGCATGATTAAAGGTGATTTGCTCCTCCATAATTGATGCGTGAAGCTGTTGGGGTATAGTAAGGAGTTAATTACTCGAGGACGAGCAAGAGTCTAAGTGTAGGGAGTTGATATTTGGCTTAAAGTATATGTATTTATATGCATGTCGACTCATATTTTACTCGAATTTTATACATTTGCATGAGTATTATGATGATTTAAGCTTAACTGTGGTGTTGTTATGTGTAGGAGTTAACCAGAAGCGATGTGGAATGAAAGATCAAGAGTTAGAGCAAAAAAGAGAAGAAAAGAGAAAAATTGCACAGGTTAGCACCCAGGCCAGCACGATGCGCTACCTGGGGCACAGAAGGCAGGCCTAGATTTTCTTATTGCTATCAACTTAGCGCAAGGCCAGTGCAACGAGCTTCCCTAGACGCTGAGATGGTATTTTTCTTACTTTGCCCGGGACTTGATTTTAACAGCCCTACATAACCCTAACTCGTATAAAAGGAGTTCAAAACCTAATTTGGAAGGAGACGCCACTTTGAGAGCTGAATACACGCGAAGAGCACTCCGGAGCAAGGATTATCACTATTCTTCATTCTTCTTAGTATTCCAATTTTCTACTGTACTAAATTAGTTAATTGTTAAAGTTGCTTCTTTAGTTAATATTAACTAAATTCAACCATTGCTCGACTTGACTTAGTAACAAATTGAGTTGAAATTAATAGGCAGTTGAAGACAAGTCTTTGTGGAATTATATTACTTGTTAATCACTCATTATTATATTACTTGTTAATCACATATACTTGCGTGTGCATTTGGAGCTAACACCTACCTTTTCCGTTTGTTGAAGCTTTTGGATTGGAAGTTTTTTAAATTAACATCATTTCTTTAGAAAATTATTAAACGGCAAATTTTAATGTCTAAGTGGCCGTCATTAAATTTCGGAAATTGGAAACATGTCTTGCAATCAGGAGATTATGTACCTGAATCTGAGATGCGGATATGTCCCTTACAGGAGAACCATTAACAATGCAGGCCATGACCTTTGCTTTCTTTTGTTTCAAAAACCACAAGAATCTATATAATTTATTAGAGGTGACAAAATTAGCTCATAAAAGTATGATCTGCCCAACTGTTCAAGTTTGGGTAGGTTATGTTCCATTATTTAGCCCATTTAATTTTGATTATCTCATTTCGGTCCAAGTAATATTTGAAGACGTTGGACAATAATTCATTTATTGATTCAATCCATTTTGATCCACCCAAAATCAGTCTATTCGTCCGTTTGTCACCCTAAATTTAGTGATGTAGTCAGCTATATTCCTTACTAAACATTGTTATTTGTTACTCCCTCTGTTCCAGTTTATGTGAACCTATTTTCTTTTTGGTCCGTACCAAAAAGAATGACCCCTTTCTAAATTTGGAAATAATTTAGCTTAAACTTACTATTCTACCCTTAATGAGAAGCTTTTATAATCACACAAATACTTTGAACCCCATTTTGACTTGTTTAGGACCACAAATTCCAAAAGTCTTATTTTTTCTTAAACTCCGTGCCCAGTCAAACAGGTTCACATAAAGTGGAACGGAGAAAGTACCAATTACTGTAATTCTCCTCTTGCATTTCTATTTGTCTTCTTGTTTACTGTTTGTCATTCGCTATTGTATTACATCGGTTAAGATTATCCGAGCTATGTGCTATATTAAGTTTTTTAATTGATGAGTTCAAAGTTTCATTTTCCATTCTTAGACAAAACAAATGAAAGAAATTAAAATAGAACTCTGGCCAGCACATGACTTCTTATTTGCATTTTGTTACTATATTGAGGCCCAAACTTGAAGTATAAACTAACAGTGTTTTATACCGATCTTTTGAAGAACTAGAACTCCAATTCTTAGGAGTCGTTTGGTTAGGAAGCAAGTTATCTCGAGATTAGTTATCCCGAGATTGTTATCCCGTTATTCCATAGAGATAAAAATAACACTACTATCCCAGAATTAGTTATACCGCGATTTTATCCCATCCAAATATGAAATAAACTTATCTCAAATTTAATCTCGAGATTAATTATCCTTTATTCCTCGAACCAAACAACCCCTAATAGTATAGCTTATGTTACTAGTACACTAAATGACAAGAAGGTCTTTTTGTAAGTTTAAGGATCATTCTCTTTGATATTCATATGATTAATGGGGACCAATTATTCTACATTCTATTGACTCTCTCTTTAATATATGTCAGTATAGGATTCACCCAATCTTTGCCTACACCAGACAGCTTCATTTCCTTTTAAAATTTTCTCTCTAGTCCTTGATTTCAAAATTAAAAAACAAAATAGAAACCCCTTGTGCTCCCTTATCTATACATATATAAAAACCCTATGAGTAGTTCCTTCAATTCCAAACAAATTCACCAACCACACCATTGTTCTTTCTTTCTTTTTCTAAAAAGTCCAATAAATTAACAAGAAGAAGGAACCAAAGAAAATGATGTATAATAACATGGAAGAAAAAGCTGGCATAATAAGAAGCACAAGTCGTCCATCATCATGTTCAGCACTAGGGACGATGAACAAGAATTCACAAATAATATCCAAAGTGAAGCCCCAAATCCGAATAATTCACGTATTTGCACCAGAGATCATCAAGACAGACGTGGCGAATTTTCGGGAAGTCGTTCAACGGCTCACTGGTAAGCCATCACTATCAGATAAGAAGAAGAAAGAAGTCAATATTTACAACATGAAGCAAATTATTCCTGGCAGAAATAATAAGGTATTAGAGGAGCCGTCGACCATGTTGAACTGTGTGACCACCTTTCTTAACAAGAAAATAGAGTTAAGGACTGGATTTCTTAATCCCTCAGGTGAAGAAGAGAGATGGAGAAATGCAAATTCTGGTGGAGGTTTCTTGGATGGTTTGATGGAAGAGTTTAATCAGTTTCCTTTCCTTCCTTCAGATGCTACTCACATGGATGCCTATGGTGAATCCCAACTTGCTTAATTAATATTGCTAATTAGTTCATAACTTGAGAGATGACAAGTATAAATGGAGTTAATTAGTCTAATGTTGATCACTATTTGATTATTATTTTCAATATTCTTGTTATTCTAGGTACTTTAAGGTTTTACTTAATTAATTCTCTTACATGATTACCCCTTCTTCTCTGGTTATGATGTTGACTTTAGGCTTGATACAGCCTTATCTTATGAGGTCAACTGAATCCACTATTTTTACACGAAATATAGGTTATATATAAAAAAATTATTAAACTCTTCATAAATATTATAAAATTTCACAAGTACAATGCATTTAATGATTGAAACCATCATATTAAAATCCTGAATCGCCTGTGTACAATTGTGCAGAGCTCTGTTATAGATATATACGCAATAATGTTGTACTTTATACTACCATTCTAGACTATATTTCATTAATGAGAATTTGGTATATATCTAAGCTCCAGTTGGATGCATTCCTTGCTATCGAACACAAAGTATGCAACACTTCTTTTTGTTCTTTTTTTATTTATTTATTTATTTTTTTAAATTTCAGGATATTAGTTGTACGTGTATCTTTATTTTTATTGTTATCTCAAGATGCTTTACTAGGTTTTTCGTTTAATCCTCTTAGTGGGCCTTTCGTGTTTGCTTAAAATATAATTAATTACGGCGAAACACGATTTTGGTAAAATTATGAGGGTTTAATTTGATGACTATTATACTTTTCTTGCAAGTTTCAGTATAGAGTATTTCTTATTTCATGATAGGATGATATATCTGTTCTACATCCATTGTAAAAAAGTTCTCAAATGACTTTATATTATGCTACCCTACTCGTTTGGTTTAATTTATCTTCTTTTTTTTTTTCCGAGTTTGGTTTTAGTATATAAACAAGAAAAACACCGATGTTTAATGAAATATTTATGACCCCTCACAAAATTGACAGATTTTACAAAGGAATTCATCAATGTTGATGGATTTGTGACGGTTTTATGAAAGTTATATACATCCATTACGAATATTATTCTTGTCACTCGAATTTGTGATGTATTTTTCGGTCAGAAATATTACTTTTGCTTAAAATTTTGGATGAAAATGTAGACCTTGAACATTGGATGTAAACTTATAAAGTTATGTTGTTCTTTTTTATATTTCTAGTAATTATATGTAATTCGTTTTTATATTTCTAATACTTATAGTAGCAGGTTTGACCCAGAAGAAAAATATTCATGTCTAGACATGTTGATTCAAATTAGATAGACTCCTAAGTATAAGTATTGTCTGTAAGAAAGTTATGTTTCCTCTCCACATTTATTTTTTCACATAATAAATTTAAAAATAACACATAAGAGATGTTTACAAGATTATTTTCTTCCATTCAATTAAAAAGGGTCCAATTGACCCATTTCCGCCTATAAATAATTTAGGGACTTTTTCGTATATATACAAAGTTTTAAACTTATTTACCTGGTTTTATCTAAGTTTCATATTTACAGGAAGTGACAAACGTCTTTTACAAAATATATACAAATCCGATCAAAATCTACAATTTATCTACATCTTAAATGCACATTTTTGTACAGAATCCGATCAAAAACTACAATTTACAAATAATTTATATACAACTTATATACAAGTATGTAAATTGTAGATATTTTGTATACAGTTTCTACAGTCGACATATAAAATATATACAATTTGTTTATGTCTTCTTTTTCGAATTTCAATATGAAATTTCAACCAAAACCACCTCGAATCTTCACCAAATTGTCTCAAAATTGAGATAAAAACTCCAACGGATATTCCCAATCATTTGCAACAACACCCAATCCAAACAAAAAAATAATTTCATAAAATTTGATTTTTGAATTCAAACTTCGAAGCAATTTAATAGCTGTCAATGAAATTTTTAATAGATTAACATAGTTTCCAATTCAGTTTGCTCGCTTCTAATTAATTTTATTTTGTTTATTGATTCAAAAAAGCTAAAAGAACGATAACTAAAATGATTCTCTTCATCGAAGTTAATTCTTTCTTATTTATTTCCTCGTTTTCATAGGATCTGAAGCAAGAACTTTGTTAGGTACTAATATTCTCTCTTTTTTTCACTTAACATTAGTATCATTTCTTCAGTTAATCCACATAAAAATATTAATATAAGAATACTGAAAGAGAGAAAGAGAGAGAGAGAGAGAGATATCGAAGAGAGAATTCCCTACTCAATTCCTAATACAAAGGGAGACTCATTAATAGTAATTTGTATATTATTGGTAAATTATATATCAACTTGTATAAGTTAAAAAGTAAACAGTGAGGATAAATAAGTTTACCTGATCAATTCTTATCTCTGACAATTATTTAAGTTTTCTTTTTCTCTTTTCTAACATATATAGGGAAACTGAAAGCATGAATTCGAAGAAATAGAATTTGACTCTTTTAGAAATGATATAAAATTACCTTGAAATATTAAAATTTCACTTTAAAATGTTATATAATGAAATTTAAAAAAAAAACTTGTTACACCCAAAGTGATGTATAGATATTTTTCTTTAAGAAACAGAAAACTTAGTCAAAAATACTTGAAACAGGGAGTTCGTCAGTTTCTCTCACAGTGATAAGAAGCCAGGTTTGCAAACTGCCCTTCTAATTAAATAGAATAACACTAAGATTTACGAAAATAAAATAAAATAAAATAAAAACAGCTTTTGCTATGAAGCCTAATAGCCTGTCTGGCCAAACTTCTCCAATCCTAAAAGCATTTTTTTTTCAAAAAAAAAAGTATTTTTTTTTTCAAAGTTGAAGTGTTTGACGAAACTTTTGAAAGGAAAAAAAAAGTATTTTTGAGGAGAAGCAGAAAAAAATAGCATTATCTCCAAAAACACTTTTTTGAAAAGCACTTCGAGAAAAATACACTTATAGCCTGTTTGGCCAAGCTTTTTTTTGGGCCAAAAGTTCCTTTTTTTTTTTTTTTTTTGCCAAAAGCACTTTTGGCTAAAAATTGAGGTGTTTGGCCAAGCTTTTAGAAGGAAAAAAGTGCTTTTGAGAAGCAGAAGCAGTTTTTGAGAAGCAGAAAAATAAGCTTCTTTCCAAAAGCACTTTTCTGAGAAGCACTTTTGAGAAAAATAAACTTAGAAGCAGTTTTCAACAGCTTGGCCAAACACTAATTAATGCTCAAAAGTATTTTTCAAATTAATTAGCCAAACACAAATCAATTCTCACCAAAAGTACTTTTTTGAAAAGTACTTTTGAAAAAAGCAGTTCTCAAAATAAGCAGATTTTAGAAGCTTGGCCAAACAGGCTATTATAAGCAGTTTTTAAAAGCTTGACGAAACACCAATTGCTACTCAGAAGTGTTTTTCAAATTAATTAGCCAAACAAAAACTAATTCTCACCTAAAGTACTTTTGAGAAAAGATCTTTAATAAAAAGCACTTGTCAAAGTAAGCTGATTTTTGCAGCTTAGCCAAACAGGCTATAAGTCATGTGACTCCTTCAAGTCAAAACACGTTATCATTTAAGTCGATCCACATTTAACACTACGTCGGCAAATACCAAAGATTTCTTGTTTGTGTGAAAATCTGCTAAAATACTTCACAAGTTGATAACTTACTGAATCCTGGTCCACCATCACAACGAGAAGATAATAGCTAAACATGTGTGAACCAAAGATGTCATAAAGAAACAATCATACAAACGTAAGATGGACATGTCTAATACCAACTCTGATAACAACCTTTCTATTTCTTACTAACATCAACCACTTCTTCCACGTCAATAAGACTCATTCACAAAGCCATGGCAACTTTTACCAGTTCTTTTCTACCATGGAGTGAGCTCATGTTCGTTGCTCATCGATGTGGCATTACTGTGTACAACACTTGTGAAAAGAAAGAATGAGGTAGGTAGGATTGTTGTGAAATTGATATACAACGTATTCTCAACGTTACCTAGAAATATGAGTAATGGGAGAAAGTGAGAGTTGTTTTTTCATACAAAATGTGCCTAGCGTCAGTTAACTCTCATATTCAGTTATTCGTTCCGTTTCAGGTGGTGCCTCCAACCTTGTTAGGACCTCAGGTTCTCCTGCAGCATTCCTTACGATCTGCGTCCAACCAGCAGATATCATGAGTGTTTCATAAATACCACGAGGTTCAATTCATTGAGTTAATTCTGCCATATAACAGCAGCAATACTAGATTCACAGTTTATATGAATACATTAGAAGGCATAACAATCCGAGCTAACTTATCAGTTGTGCAAATTCTAGAATCATTAACCATTTTCCTTATAATTTAATAGTTTTACATCATAAAAGTATTGTCAGTTATCAATCTAGTGAAAAAGCTAAGAGGTTAATACAAACAATTCTGTATTCAAGCACTAGAAGATTGTGATGCTATATACTAACCGTGGATGAAAAAATTATGTAATAGTGTATTTTAGAAGTAAAAAATATAGAGATGACTCACCAGGATCTCATCGTCAAGGTAAGAAATCATAATAAGTCTCTGAAAGGTCCCTCCTGACATTGTAACAGTCCAGAGTGATAAGCAACAGAAATAAATGCCTAAAGCTAAGCAATAACATATAAATCTAGAAAAGATACTTTCTTCAATCTCCTATTTTTCTAATCCTCTTTAGCTTATTCCTTGTATTTCAAGATATTAGAGCATGCACTTATCATTAATGACATGAAGCCTTTAAGAAGCATAAACAGAGTAAACAAAAGAGACGAGATTGGAAATTCAAAAAGAAATATCAATGTGCTGAAGTTGAATGAGTTCTCGACAGTGGCTAAGCTGGATAAAGTCAAACTAAGTCCCCCTTGAAGGAAAGTGCAGGCAGATGAATAACTCCGCATGGTTTTTAAAGATGCTATAAGATTTGAGCATTTGAAGAACTGATCGACTCGATCGATAGGCGTCGAAGAGTAGCATCTCAATGAGACAACTGCTTGTTGATAAGTCAAAAAACTTAATTCTACCTCCATCTCATCTTTACTGTCCCGTTTACGAAAAATGACCCTAATGATATTCCCCTAACCAAAAGGAGATCCTTTATTCCAAACTACCCTTTTATTTGGAATGAGTAGAAAACTAAAAAATCATATAATTAGGTAGATGAAGGAAACAGGAAGGAATTTCAGAAAATAAGTGGATAGATTAGAATATCACTTTTACTGATCAGAGTATTTTGTGAATGAACGATATCATTTGGCAAGTAACCAAACAAACCAGTGTCTGCAAAATCCTAAGCAAAGAAAAAAAGACTGCGAATTTCCAGAATAAAAGGGAAACAGAATTGGCAGACATTTACTAATCCGATATCATAATTCACGAGGCAAAAGATAGCAAATTAAAATTAAAAAGAATACTCCCTCCGGCCAATTTATGTGATGGTGTTTGAGTAGGCACAGAGTTTAAAAAAGAAAAAAAGACTTTTAAAACTTGTGGTCTAAAACAAGCCTAGATATTTGTGCGGCTATAAATCATCTCATTAAGATAAAATGGGAAGTTTACAGTATTAAATTGTTTTTAAATAAGTATGACATTCTTTTTGGGACAGACTAAAAAGGTAAGTACGACACATAAATTGTGACGGAGGGAGTAATTCATAAGGCAAGTTAGAGAAAGATATTCATAGGCCTGAACATACTTTTCTCCATCTAAGGTATACACAGCAAACTGGATTAGCCTATTTGCCAATATTTGCACATATCATGGTTTTAGCTCTCTTAACAAGATACAGTATCTCCGCATTAAATGAGTAAGAAGTATGTTTTAGTTGATAACAAAGACCAAATCCTACAGTAATACTGAAATCTCACCAAGAGGAACTTTCACCCCACTGGACATAGCATCTCTAATGGGGACAGGAAGTTGTTGCACTGTGTTAAAAGCCTGGCCAAAAGCACCTCTTAGTTGTTCAGGTACAGCTTCCTCATTGACCTTTGGAGATTCAAATGTCCCTTCAACATACTCTTCTTTCATACGAAGAGGCCCCTCAACACTATACTTGGTGGAGATGATAAACTTATTCTCAATCTGCATTTTTACCACAAGTATTTTCACTTCTTCAGATATCTAGGATCAGATATACTAATAATTCAACAACATTTCACAATGATCTCAACCGATAAATTGAAAGAAGCAACACTCTGGGTCCTTGATTAAGACTCAAATGATATTGACCAGCGTAGAACTAATTGCCAGCTTGCAAGAATCAGGGGCCAAGCTTAAGTTAATGCGAGGCAAAAAGTACCGGCAAAAGTTATGCGGTAATCCATATATAATTTTATGGAGGCAAGAATGTAGAAACGGAATAGTGCATTAGTAATACTTGGATAAAAGTATCTAAAGATAAAAAAAATCTTAAATGTAAGAATCCTTATATAATTATTCACCGTATAACAGTCCATAGATTATTATTCACAGTGTAGAAGTCACTACATTATTATTTATCGCATAAGAATCCCCATATTGTTCTCCTCATAACTAGTTTGTGAACCAAACGACCCCTTCATTTGTAGAAATTTTTAGTATTGTTTACTTTCAACTTTGTAGCAGAGGGAAGATTATTTTCTGAATACTAGCATCGACCTTACATATCAAAATTGCCGACGAAGATAAATTACCGAATTTAGCAATTTGACTTGTGCAGTAGCAGTCCCAGATCCATCCTTGATCAGCACATCTAATTTTGATAAATTTACCAATGTCGGAGGAATTCTCCTGCAACAGCATGATTTTGGTAGAAACATTATTAGCTGACATTCATCGAAGTAAACTAGAATCAAAATGACGATCAGCTTCACCTCAATGTTCAGAAGATATCAACTGAAATTAGCTCATAAACTCTAACAATAACTTACTCCCTTTAAAAAGAAAAATGCCTTGCTAACAGAAAATCAAGCCAACAGATTCTGGTTCACAGCTCATCCAGCCATGGGCGTATCGAAGAGGAGTGTGGGTTCACGTGCACCCATTGCTCTCCTCCCTTTACCATATATAGCAATGTTATATCTCTTCAAAACTAATATATGTGTGTGCGCCCGAGCTCAAAGAGTCCTATGGTGCAATGGTTACTGGGTGCACCTCTACAAGTGAGGTCAAGGGATTAATTCCCACGCCCATCTTGCATTTTATAATTAAATACTTTTTTTCTTTGTCTTCCTTTTTTTGTTAGGTTACTTTCAAAATCTCCTCCTAGACCATGTATAATCAATGAGTTCAACTAATCAAAACATTTTTGACACGGAGTATAGATATATATATATATGTAAAATGTCACTAAAATTTCAAGTAAAAAGTTGAACCTATAATTTTAAATGTATAATGGGGTCAATGGTAAGAACCTAAAGGTTGAACCCATCAAATTGAAATCCTGAATCCACCTGTTCATAATAGTGTACCATGTTCTTGAAATCCTAGACCCGCCTTTAGATCCAGCTAACACTTTTTTTCAGCAACATTTAGTCTGTAACACCTCTTTGATGGATTTGACAAATCGTAGTGTTAGCAAGAACAGAGATCAATGATCGTGGCAGGAGCTTCATAGCAACATTTGTTCAAAGTCAAGCATTCGTTTAGATATGGTTTCTTAGAATGAATGGAAAACAATGGCTCTACAAGGAAGCTCATCAACTTTCTCCTTCGAAGCTAATTTCTGTCTGATTAGCTCATTGACTTGATCAGTGGCTTTGTATTATTCATAGAGAACTTGAGGGGGCAGGTACCTTACTGGAACAATATGCGCAAATATGATCAGGGAGCTCTGGCACTATATAGTTTCTTCGGGGTTGTCGAATGGGATTTTTCAACAATATAAAGTATCATCTCTTATATTTTATTGCACGCAGGGGATCATAGATACTTTGAGTCAATTACTCAAATAGTCACCCAACTATCTTAAATTATCTTCTAAAGTCACTTTTCTTTCGTTCGTAACAACAAAGTTACTGAACTATGCCTATTGCACTCAGAAGGTCACTGAACTAGATTTTCTAAATTTTGGATTGCCAAATACCTATTTTACCCTCTAAATTATAAACTTTAATTTTTTTTAAAACTTTTTAGTATTATGATTTTCCCTTTTAATTTATATTATGGACTTACCTATAGAATAAATAAATATTATTTATAAATTAAAAAAATAAAATTTATTTAAGCATATATAATGCTGGAATAACAAAATAATGATCATAGCAAAAAAAAAAATTAATTAGAATAATTTGTTAGTAACAATAATTTTAGTATTAACAACAAAATTCAAAAATTTATTTACACAATTCAGAATGAAAGAGAATAAAGGTTGTAAAATATATATTCCATGCACGTAATATAAACATAATTATTTAAATAAAGGTATTTTTATAATATACGTTATATATTCTTGAAAATTATGCTCAATTATATTACTATGTTTCTACCAACTTTCCGACGACACAAAGTTATGTCACTGGAAAGCAGGGGGACTATCTGTATAGGGTAAAATGTGCTATGTAAGTCGTGCATGGAATATATAATATAGTTGAGCATAATTTTCAAGAATATATAATGTATATTATAAAAATACTTTTATTTAAATAATTATTTTTATATTACGTGCATGGAATATATATTTTACAACCTTTATTTTCTTTCATTCTGAATNAATAGAGGTATTTTATAATATACATTATATATTCTTAAAAATTATGCTCAATTATATTATTATGTTTCTACCAACTTTCCGACGACACAGTTATGTCAACGGAAAGCTGGGTGACTATCTGTATAGTGTAAAATATGCTATGTTAGGTCGTGCATGGAATATATATAATATAATTTTCAAGAATATATAATGTATATTATAAAAACACCTTTATTTAAATAATTATATTTATATTGCGTGCATGGAATATATTTTACAACGTTCATTTTCTTTTATTCTGAATTGTGTAAATAAATTTTTGAATTTTTGTTGTTAATACTAAAATTATTATTACTAACAAATTATTCTAATTAATTTTTTTACTATGCTCATTATTTTGTTATTCCAGCATTATATATGCTTAAATACTTTTTATTTTTTTAATTTGTAAATAATATTTATTTATTCTATAGGTATGTCCATAATGTAAAAAGGGAAAAATCATAAAATTAAAAAGTTCAAAAAATTAAAAAGAAGATAAATGTTTATAATTTAGAGGGTAAAATAGGTATTTGGCAATCCAAAATTTGAAAAATCTAGTTGAGTGACCTTCTGAGTGCAATATGCATAGTTCAGTGACTTTGTTGTTGTGAGAATGCACGGGAGAAAATATATTATTGATGTATTGACATATGTTACAATGAGCCCTATATATATACACACACATAACATGTCCTACTCCTAATATATATTGGATTAGGGTTATTTATTTACTCCTATTTACATGACTATTCTAACACTCCCCCTCAAGCTGGTGCATATAAATCATATGTACCGAGCTTGTTACATATGTAGTTAATACGAG